TATGTAATATTTTATTTATTATTATGATTGTGTCAGTGCTGGGGGCTGGAAGTCTGAGATCAAGGTGTGGGCAGGATTGGTTCTCCTGAGACCTCCCTCCGTAGCTTGTAGATGGCTGCCTTCTCTTTGTGTCTTCCCACAGTCTTCCTTCTGTAGCCATCTGTGTCCAAATCTCCTCTTCTTGCAAGGACACCAGTCACATTGGATCAAGGACCTCTTTTTAACTTAATTACCTCTTTAAAGACCCTCATCTCCAATTATTTTTTTTAATCTTCACCCAAGGATATTTTTTCCATTGACTTTTAGAGAGAATGAAAGGGAGAGGGAGAGACAGAGAGAAACATTGATGTGAGAGAGACACATTGATTGGTTGCCTCCTGATCAGGACCTGCAACCGAGGTACGTGCCCTTGACCGGAATCGAACCCGGGACCCTTCAGTCCGCAGGCCAACGCTCTATCCACTGAGCCAAACCAGCTAGGGCCCATCTCCAAATTTAGTCACATTTTCAGGTATTGGGGCTAGGGCTTCAAAATATGAATTGGCATGGACCCAGTTCACCCCATGACCAAGCCTCCGAAGCATTTCTTTGGCCTGTGTGCCAATGTCCCAGTCCCGGGGCCTTCTCAGCGGCCCTGGGTGCCTCTGGCTGGGGATCCTTGCCAGGGCGCTGTGCGAGCAGCGTGATTGCATCTGTGGCTACCCAACCACACCGAGCAACTGAAAATCCCCCAGGGGGCCAGGCGTCCTCAACACGATTTCCTGACAGATAAGGCGCAGAGGGAGCGTAGTTCATTTGCCCTCAGTAACCTGACAGCCAGCCAGGCTGCCCAGAAAACGCCTGATGGATGCTTTTTCTCTTTAGCTCATGCCGGTGGGGCTCTGCCAGGAGAAAGCCGGGGGCAAGACCCTTGCCAGGGGCCTGGCTGGCACAGCATGGAGCACTCCAGCAAGATGGAGTTTTTCCAGAAGCTAGGCTACGACCGGGAGGATGTGGTCCGGGTACTGGCCAAGCTGGGCCAGGACGCCCTGGTCAACGACGTGCTGCAGGAGCTGATCCAGACCGGCAGCCGCCCCGGGGCCCACCAGAGCAGTGCTGCACCCCTGCTGGTCCCCAGGGGCTCCTGTGGGACCCCGGACTCCATCCAGCGCGGGCTGGGGGCCGATCCCGAGGAGGAGTGCGGTGACCCAGCCAGCTCCTTGAGACCTATCGTGATCGACGGCAGCAACGTGGCCATGAGGTAGCTTTCTTCATTCTGTAGCAGGGGGGACGGGTGGGGTGGAGAACTGTCCCTCTGTTCAGTGGTTTGGTCCAAACAATGTAGGGCCCATGGATGGGGCTTTGAATCCTTTTCCATCGCTTAGTAGCTGTGTGGCCTTAAGTAAGTCACTTACCCTCTCTGAGCCTCGCTTTTTCCACCTGTAATGTTGGTATGAAACCACCCTAGAAGGGAGCTGCACGAGATGCTGAGGACAGTACCTGGCACGCAGCAAGGGTTCAACAGTTGGCTGCTCTTGTCACATTAATCCCGAGAGAGCCCTCTTGTGAGGAAGGCTGTGGGTGATTGGGGACGAGCGGCCTGTTGTCGGGAGTCTGTCCCGCACCAGTTGTGTGATTCTGGGAAAGCCATGTTTCTCGTTTCCTCTTCTGCTTCCCTCGAGGGTGTGAGAATCACATGGGAAGATGAACTTGAACTTCGTTGGAAGCCCTCTGCTGGGGCTATGGGGTGGGGTGTGGTTCCCTAGCTCCGTGTGAGAGGTGAGCTCATGGCCCCAGGCTGCAGACATGGTAGTTAATGTCTGGGTATTGGCACCTTCCCGTGTTTCGGTGATGAGAGCAACAGGCCCCGCCTTGTTGTTTTTCCTGGTGAGGCCGAGTTCAGCTGTGAGAGAATCTCTGCAGCCTCCCTCACACTCCCCGCTGGGCTGGGTGAGGAGGAGGCCTTGCCCACACAAGTGCATTATCCTACGGCTTGGCTTGGTGACAGCGGGGCAAAGGGCAGAGCCATAGGAAATCAGTCCCTCACAGCTGCAAATAGACAGGCTTCCCTTTTCCAAAGCTGAGCTGCGGGAGGGGATGGAGAAGAACTGTGTTAGCAGCAGCACTGGAGGTGGCAGCCTCGCCCTTTGGCTGACAGGCCGAGTGGGGACTTGGTCTCCCTTGGCATTTGGAACTGCAGGACCCAAGGTTGGAATGGATCAACCCAAGGTGATCAGGCCTCAGGGGCTGCTCCTACATGCCCTGCCTGGTGTGTGTGAGTCAAGCTGTAGCCGGAGGGGTCTTCCGAGGCTCGATTAGATCAGAGAGGGTAACGGAGCCCTTTCTCCAGGGCTCAGGGGCTGGTCCTCGGGGTCGGTTACATTCTCCTGCAGGCTCCCAGCGAGCCTGTGAAATCCTGTTTAACGCAAGATCTCTGGGGGAGTTATGGGATTTTTAGGAATCCAGTAGGTTCTGAGGGTCCTAGAAAGAAAGTCTAAGGGGTGGTGAGAGGGGACCCTGGCCTCCTTCTGATCAGGCCCCGCTCCCTCTGGGCATCAATAGAAATACAAGATGATGTCACTTACATCGCAGACCTCTCCAGGCGGAAGGTTTTGTGAGCTCTGAGAGTCCAGATCAAAGGAGCAGAACGTCTGTGGGACACAGAGTACTTCAGGTGCCGCAGGCAAGTGCAGGCACCTCTCTCTGGGGACGGACGTGTCTTAGGAATTGTTCTGATAGGGGGGTGGTGGAGGGTTTTCTTTAGATGAAAGTCTCTGTTACTGCCTGGAATTCAAATTGGAACCGCATCCTCTGTTTGCACATGACCATGATGTGTCCTGGCTGCATCCATTTAGTCCCACCCTAGGCCCTCCCGTTGTGGCAGTTTAATCCCTTCAAGCTCAGTCTGCGAGTTACAAATGCAAACCACCTCTCAGGCTATCAATTAAAATGTGTCAGACACGTGCTGCCTGAAAATCACCCCAGTGAACCGGAACACATGCATCTGTGTGTGTTCTCAGCGTGTGTACGTACGTGTATGCACACACACAGGTCTACACATGCACACACATCCCCGACTCCCTGCAGCTCACTAGCTAGGAAACAAAGGTCACATTGCACAGCCACCCCCCGACAGGTGGGACTTGACCTGGTCTAAGGCAAGTCGGGGGGAGAGTGGGGTCTGAGGTGCAGCTCCCTCTCCTACAATAACGCCGAGTGTGTCCTCCAACCAGGCTTTCAGCAGGACTAGGCCCAGGCCCTGGCAGATCCTCAGGACGGATCCCAGCGCGGGGCTCGCCCTTCAGAGGGAACGGATGGCTGAAACCCCACGCGGTGTCTAGTTATTATCTTTTGACCTCAAAACTCAGTTAACCTCAGAAACATGGTTTCTCAAAATTCTCCTTTGAAGAGGTTTTATAGTATTGCAGACCTTGTCATTCTGTGTGTGTGTGTGTGTGTGTTTTAGTTACCTAAATAGAAATCTGTATTTTAAAACATATTACTTATTTATTTTTTTAAAGCTGTAGGTTTTATAAATATACTAGAGGCCCAATGCATGAAAATTCATGCAAGAGTAGGCCTTCCTTCCCCCGGCTGCCGGCACCGGCTTACCTCCGGCACTGGGGACCCTGGCTTCCCTCCTCCAGCCACCCGCAGGCACCCAGCACCCGGGACTGGCTTCCCTCTGGCCCCAGCTTGGTCAGGAAGGATATCCAGAATGACATCTGGAAGACGTCTGGTCTAATTAGCATATTACCCTTTTATTATTATGGATATATAAATATATTTCAGAGAAAAAGGAAGAGGGAGAGAAAGATAGAAACATCAATGATAAGAGAGAATTTTTGATCGGACTAGAAGCCCACTACACAAAGATTCGTGCAATAGGCCTTTCTTCCCCGGCTGCCGGCACCGGTTTTCCTCTGGCACCTGGGACCCAGGCCTTTGGTCTGGCCACAGTGGAGAAGCCAAGCCTCTTCAGTCTTCAGTCTTCAGTCTTCAGTCTTCACTCCAGCCGGAGCTGCCAGTCTTTGCTCCATGCCTGCATATGCAAATTAACCGCCATCTTTGTTGGGTTAATTTGCATAGTCATCCTGATTGGCTGGTGGGCGTAGCAGAGTGACACCAATTTGCACTCTTTTATTAGTGTAGATGCCTCCTGCATACCCGCTACTGGGGATCAAGCCTGCAACCTGGGCATGCGCCCTGACTAGGAATCAAATCATGACCTCCTAGTCCATAGGCCAATGCTCAACCACTGAGCCATGCTGGCTGGCCCCAAGTGCTTTTTTTTTTTTTTCCCCTCAAGTGTTTTTTAAAAAAGTGGGAATGTATTTGCTCAAAGCACATGAGAGCCTGGCCTCTTTTACAAAACACAGACTGTCCTCAAGTTATTTAAATAGATCCACACCACCTTTCATCTCCTCTTTGTAACAGCAAAGGGAGTCCATTGGCTCTTACAAGCAGAACTGATGGCCTCATTCGCATTTCGTAAGTGATAGGTCAACTTCAATGAGAGTTCTAAGTTGCAATGTCAGGAGTGCATAAGGTGGAACCTGAGAAGCCAGACCTCATGCTTGCCCCATCGTTTTGTATTTCATGTAGAAAACCAGGAGGTCCCTGTGATGTTGGAAAACTCTGTACCTATGCTGTCCATTGGGTCGCCACTTGTCGTTTGTGGCTACCTGGCACCTGAAATGTGGCTGCTGTGACCAAGTAGCTGAATTTTAATTTTTTGCATTAGTTTGAACTGAAGTGCAAATAGCCTCCTGTGGTGAGTGCCTACTGCGCAGCTCCAGCCTTTCATCTTCCCAGTTATGTGACCTTGGTGGGAATCACCTCTTTTGAGTCCTTTTTATACAATTAAGAGGTTAGACTAAATGATAATCTTAACTGGTTTAACTGGTTTTTCATCGCTAACATTCTAAGATTCAGGGTGATTCTTTTTTAAAAATATATATATATTTTATTGATTTTTTATGGAGAGGAAGGGGAGGGATAGAGAGTTAGAAACATCGATGAGAGAGAAACATCGATCAGCTGCCTCCTGCACACTCCCTTACTAGAGATGTGCCCACAACCAAGGTAAATCGAACCTGGGACCCTTGAGTCTGCAGGCCGACGCTCTAGCCACTGAGCCAAACCGGCTAGGACAGGGTGATTCTTTTATGCATGGCTTGAAAAGAAATGAATGCTTTTTTATAAATAAAGGAAGTTTTCTTCTTTGGCAGAGGTTCAGAGAAAGTAAGTAACTTGCCCAAGGTCACAGAGCATGACGTGCCGGGCTCTGGATTCCATGCTCTTGCCAAAGCCCTATGTTTCCTCCAGCACCAGGTACCTCTGCCTTTCCCCATGTCCAGTCTTGGAAAGGGTCTCAGGGTGGGAGACCCTGACCCCAAGGTGTTTATCCTGGGCCAGGGCCTCCCCAGGTGAGCCCGGACTTGGACTTGTCCACTGCAGACAGGATGTGCTAAGCACCTCCCCAGGGGCCCAGGTGCTTCCTGCAGGACTGGTGCCCGGGACGCTTCTGCTGCTGTTGCCAACCTTCAGAGGGCCTCAGGGCGCCGAGGTACATGGCTTGTGGCTCTCTTGCAGACTGACAAGTCCAATCCCCACACCTCTAGGGGGTGTATATGTGTATGTGTGTGTGTGTGTGTGTGTGTTTGTGTGTGTGTGTGAGAGAGAGAGAGAGGGCGATGTGAGTTGAATGCCTGAGTCACTATATACCTGGCCTTTAGAAAAATGCCCGGCAGGTTTTAAAAAGAAGGCCGCTTTCATTGAAAGCAGATGGAAAGCTGCCCGTGGTGATTGGGAGGAACTCACGTGACAACCGCCACAGGCGGCAAGCTCGCTCTGTAGGCAAATTTAGCAGAGGCGTGATTTGAAGGACTTGAGCTTGGGGGAAATCCACCTGATAATTTCACATCCTCTTACTGCCCCAGGCAAGGGTTTCATTTGACTGTGCCCTCATTTGGGGGTGCAGGGCTTTTGGTTTGAGGTGCTGCTGCTGGTGTGTTTAAGCTGTTAGACACCTCAGCAGAATCTGGCTTCTTCTGGAGGAAGGCATCTTCAGCGACAGGGCCCAGGTCTCGGTCAGGCCCCTGTCAGTGGGTTCCCACCGCCGGGGGCAATTCCCTCTGACCAACCCTGGCCTGCGGTTCCCACCTAAGTCTGCATGCACCCTCCTCCCATTGGTAAGATGGGGGTGCTCCAAGCAGCCCCCTGCCTCTCCCTCTTCCTTCAGACCTGAGCCGGGGTGATCCCTGGGTGAGAAGGGTTGTAACTCCAGGTTCAGAGTGTTTACAACTTAACCCCAAATACCGAACAGTCCAACAGTGGTGCCCTTCCCATGTTACACCGCAAGGCCTGTGCTGTGAGCCGCTCACTTCTGCAGACTTCGGTGTCCCAGTTAGATGGTCCTGTCCCTGTTCCTGGCTACATGCTAACTGTGGCTGCCTCATGCACGGCTGTCATGTAGGCAAAATTTGTCTCAGGCACCAGCCCATTTCCCCTTCCCACCCTCCCTCTATTCAAAACCTGCCCCTCCTGTTTCCTCTTCTCGGGGCCTGGCTGTCAGCGTGGTGCCTGAGAAACTGGCCCACAGCGTCCAGTCATAAGCACCAAGACCCCTCCCCAGTGCAAGATGTTCGCAGCGAGTAACTCGGGCTCCACAGGAGCTGCGGTCTGGATCTCAGGGCCGGGGAGGACCAGGGATAAATGGAATAAATGGAGACAGGGAGGGAGCGTTTGCAGCCCAGTAAAGGAGGCTCTGAGATCCGCCAGATCAGCGAGCGGGCACACTGTTCTGCTTGTTTCCTCAAGGGTAAAACGGGACGAAGGTCACTTCCTCAAGGGCTCGTTGTCACAATTAGATGCGGTTCCCGTGCAATGTGGCCTGGCACACTGGGCTCTCCACGAATATTAAAAGTGAGCTCCAAGAAGCAGGGTGAGGCCTGCCTCACCCCCACTCTCGAGCCCCAGCACAGAGCCTCACTGAAGCCGATGCTCATGCACTGATGATGAGTGGGTGGATGAAGCACAAGCGGAGGGTGCCTTTGGTTGGGTGCTGTTCTCTGTAGGTGGGAAGTGGGCTCCCGGGGTGACCATGAGCTTCCTTGCTTGACTGGGGCCTCTGCTGGCTCCTCTTAGAGACAGAACCCCATGTGAGGAGCTGGCTCCTGCTATGGCATCAATCCTGCGATTGCCCAGAGCTTTCTGTGGCCAGAAATAGGGCAGCCATGGTGGCATTTTGAGGTTGGTAAACAAATGTGGCCAGGATGGAAACACAGGCCATCTTCACATCTCAGAAGAGACCAAGGCTTATGAGGGGAGGTTGGAGCGGGTGTGTGGGAGTCAGTCCTGCAAAGCAATAGACCTGAATGAGGGTCTTCTGTTCCTCAGAGGCAAGCTTGGGGGTCTGGGGGGGGGGCCTGGGGTTCAACTCAGACTCCTCTGTGAACGACCCCTCCTCATTCTCCCTCCATCTCCTTTCTTTTCTCAACTTCCACTGGGAGGAAGGGGCTAGCTTTCCACTTCCTCTTCTTCTTGATTATTTTAACCAGACAGCTTCACTGATATTTTCTCCGGACGGTTTGCATAAGCCACACAGCTTGGCTGCAGTGGCCGAAGGGCTATTTTCTCTAACCTGGAAGACACCACAGATCGGGGTGCCAGGCCTGGTTCCTGGTTGTCACTGGAGCTAAAGGAACTGAGAGTTCTGAGCCTCCACAAAGGGCAACTTCCTACTGGTGATATTCATGTTTCCAAGCACGCCCGTTTCCTCTTTACAAACCTGAACCTATCCTCATCCCCTCCAAGAAGATAGCAGGAGAGGCCTGGGACCAGAGAAAGCACCATCGTGTCACCCTTGTCTGGACACGGGGCACTTCTCAGGCCTGGCCTCTCAGGGGAGGTGTGCGTGTCATGGTGACCCCTGGCTCCCCAGGAACCTAGCCCTGCCTCCTATCTTCTACGACTCTCCCCTTTGCTCACTCCACATGCTCCAGTCACACTCTCCCTTTTTGGTCCCCAAACATGCCACGTCTTCCCTGTATCCGGGTCTTTCCAGCCAACCCTTCACTCTGCCTGGTTGCTCCTCCTGGAGCTAAAGGAACTGAGAGTTCTGAGCCTCCACAAAGGGCAACTTCCAATACTGGTGATTCATGTTTCCAAGCACGCCCGTTTCCTCTTTACAAACCTGACTGGAGCTAAAGGAACTGAGAGTTCTGAGCCTCCACAAGGGGCGACTTCCAATACTGGTGATTCAAGCACACCCATTTCCTCTTTACAAACCCGGACCTATCCTCATCCCCTCCAAGAAGATAGCAGGAGAGGCCTGGGACCAGAGAAAGCACCATCGTGTCACCCTTGTCTGGACACGGGGCACTTCTCAGGCCTGGCCTCTCAGGGGAGGTGTGCGTGTCATGGTGACCCCTGGCTCCCCAGGAACCTAGCCCTGCCTCCTATCTTCTACGACTCTCCCCTTTGCTCACTCCACATGCTCCAGTCACACTCTCCCTTTTTGGTCCCCAAACATGCCACGTCTTCCCTGTATCCGGGTCTTTCCAGCCAACCCTTCCCTCTGCCTGGTTGCTCCTCTCCAGCTCCTCAAAAGACCGTTCTTCCCAGTCATTTACTTATTCAACACGTTTTATTAAGTCCTTACCAATTATCAGGCACTGTGCTAGGCGCTGGGAATTCAATGGGGACCAGAAGATTTAGAGAAGGGAAGACCTGGTTCATCCCTCATCTTACCAATGGAAGGGTGTATGCAGACTCAGGCTGGAACCCAAGGCCAGGAAGGAGAAGTCTAATACTGTGAGGCCTCATACTCAGGATCTGACAGAGTTCAGAGGCCAGGGGATGTTTTCCTGAGGAAGCAGAGATAAAGCTGAGACCTGAGGGAGGAGGGGACTGGCCGAGAGGAGAGGAATGGCTGGCGAGTGGCTCTGTGGTGAGAGGGGAGGAAGGTGCATATGCAGGACAATAGCTGAAGGCGGTGCAGATGGCTGAGCCGGAAGCAGGGAACACAGAGTGATCTCACCTCGAAGCCAGGCGTACACGGGGCACTTCTCAGGCCTGGCCTCTCAGGGGAGGTGTGCGTGTCATGGTGACCCCTGGCTCCCCAGGAACCTAGCCCTGCCTCCTATCTTCTACGACTCTCCCCTTTGCTCACTCTACATGCTCCAGTCACATTCTCCCTTTTTGGTCCCCAAACATGCCATGTCTTCCCTGTATCCGGGTCTTTCCAGCCAACCCTTCCCTCTGCCTGGTTGCTCCTCTCCAGCTCCTCAAAAGACCGTTCTTCCCAGTCATTTACTTATTCAACACGTTTTATTAAGTCCTTACCAATTATCAGGCACTGTGCTAGGCGCTGGGAATTCAATGGGAACCAGAAGATTTAGAGAAGGGAAGACCTTCATCCCTCCCAATGGAAGGGTGTATGCAGACTCAGGCTGGAACCCAAGGCCAGGAAGGAGAAGGTCTAATATGTGAGGCCTCATACTCAGGATCTGACAGAGTTCAGAGGCCAGGGGATGCTTTCCTGAGGAAGCAGAGATAAAGCTGAGACCTGAGGGAGGAGGGGACTGGCCGAGAGGAGAGGAATGGCTGGCGAGCGGCTCTGTGGTGGGGGGGGAGGAAGGTGCATGGGCAGGACAATGGCTGAAAGAGGTGCAGGTGGCTGAGCCGGAAGCAGGTAGCACAGAGTGATCTCACCTCGAAGCCAGGCGGGTCCCATCACAACTAAGTCTAATTGGTTTGCATTCCCAGTATCTCAAATCTGTCTACGTATCTCCTCTCCAGCAAAACACTGCTGACCTTCATTGACTAAGCCTGAGGGTTGTTTTCGGCCTCATTGGTCCCTCGCAGCAGCATTCGGCTGCCTCCTTCCCATGGCCTCCACCATGCGGCTGTCTTCTGGTTCACATCCTTTCTATCTTCTGTAGGACTGTCCTCCTCTGCCTGTAACCAGCTGTTGAGTTCCAGACTTCCTCTAGCTCCAGCTCTAGGCCTCTCTCTCTCTCCCCAGGCAATCAGGCAATTCTCTCCATGCGGTGGCTCCTCTGCTGCTTAAATACAGATGACCCGCACATTTCACCCCCCAGACCTCTCTTCCAAACCCTAGCTACTTACTTAACTTTTCACTGTGAGGTCACAAATCCTCCTCCAACTTAGTATATGTCCATGACCAAACTCGTGATCTTTCCCTCTAAGCTCTGTATTCCTCCAGAGTTCCCTGTCTCTGCAAAAAGCCAGTCATACAAGCCAGAGATCTGAAGTGTCCTCAATGCTTTCTTCTCTCTATCACCCTCTATCCGATCACCATGTTTTGGAGATTTTACCTTTTAAATAGCTCTCAAGTTCACCTACTCTTCTTTATGCATCAATATCTGCTCGGTCAAAATAACCATCCATTTTGCCTTGATGACTATAATAGCTTCTTAACTGGTACCCAACACCCACTCTTGCTCCCTTCCAATTTAATGTCCTCTGTGCTGCCAGATTGAACTTCCACATACATCAGATCACATCATATCACAACACATATACCCCAAGTCTTAAACCCTTTTATGACTTCTCATTCCTCTTAGGAGCGAGAAGAATCTTCATTAAAGCTTGCAAGGCTCGGCCTGTTCTTGAGCCTCTTCTCACACCACCCTGTTTTTCCTGCCACCATTGATGTCTTTGACTTTGGTGGAATTTATGGGGAACATTGGCCTCCTTGCTTAGACCTGGGAAGCCTAATAACATAGTTACAGCCCACTCTTAGGGTGAGAGTATTCTGCAGATGACTACTCCCATCAAGGTTATGTTGATCTTTATTAGCTTCAGTTAATAGGAGAATCTGGTCTATTAATCCTGGGAATGCACACGTCTTGGAGCCTGAGACCTTCTACAAACTATCAGAAGCTACGTGGTTCCAGTGAAGAGTCATATTTTGTGCAAAGAATGAACTATATTTTTAAAATGTAGATTTGTCTGATTCCCTCTGATTATGAGACTGCGGGAAATCACTCTTTAGAAACCCTTTCTGTGTCTCTACAGATTCTTTGTTTTCCCATTGTAGCCATGGAAATAAAGAAGTCTTCTCTTGCCGGGGAATCCAGCTGGCTGTGGACTGGTTCAGGGAAAGAGGACACACCTACATCAAAGTTTTTGTCCCATCCTGGAGGAAGGACCCCCCGAGAGCCGACACCCCCATCAGAGGTATGCTGGCGCCGAGGCGTGCTCACAGGTCCTCTGCACTGTCCTCAGGAGTCCTGCTGCTATTGTTTGCAGGCAGTGATCTACGGAGCTGTTTGTCTGATGAAGCCTTCCTGAGCTCCATGCAGGCTCTGACTGAGTGCTCACTGCCATGGCCCTGACACCTGGCACTGAGTAGGTGCTCACTATGCAGTTGTTGGAGACATGAATGAACAAATTACTTCATCTTTTAGTGTGAATGATTAAGTGCCAAAAATAATTGTGTTTTACAACTTTTAACACTCTGCAGAAAGATTGGATCTGCATCCCACCCCTCATAGAATGTAGGATCTGAGAGAGACTTTCATTCAGTCTGGTGATATTTATTTATTGAGTCCCTAGTCCAGTCTCTTCATAAACACACACACACACACACACACACACACACACACACACACACACACACCACAAAAACACAACAACATATGTTCTGACTTAAAAATAAATGACACTGGGACCCAGGGAATTCTTCATTTTTAATTCTTATATAGGTTTATTTTAAGCTACAAAAACAGGGCTTTGTTTTTGTTTGGCTTTCTTATAACAAAAAGTCAAATGCTAAGCTATTGGCCTTGATTCAGCCAAGTTGATGGTAGGGCTGACCTCCTGGTGATTCTGGGAGATTTCTTTGACTTTGTCTTCCAGCCTTTTCCCCAAAAGCTTTTGTTTTTAATTCTATCAATTACCAATTGCTTCTACTTCTCTTAATTAAGGATTCTCTCCTTAATTTTTAAATAAAGTGCTATTCTTGCCTTAGGGATGCAGTATCTCTTTTTACTATTTCTGTAATAATTCTTTACTATTTCTATAGACTGTCACAAATTTTCTTCAGTTCCATAAATCATATTTATTTTTTCCTGTGGTCAGCTCTCTTTGTCTCTCTCTCTCTCTCTCTCTCTCTCTCTCTCTCTCTCTCGTGTGTTAGGTCTTTTCAAAAGTCTGGTGATCCTTTGGTTGTCAGTTTTTATCTATATAATAAAAACCTAAGTGATTGTTACGATGGAACAACCAGAACAACCAGTCGCTATGATGCCCACTGACCAGCAGGGGGCAGACACTCAACGCCAGAGCTGCCCCCTGGTGGTCAGTGCACTCCCACAGGGGGAGCGCCACTCAGCAAGAAGTCAGGCTCACAGCTGGTGAGCGCAGCAGCGGTGGCGGGAGCCTCTCTCGCCTCTGCAGCAGCACTGAGGAGCAGCGAGCTGAGTGGTAAGGAGCAGTGAGCAGGTGGATGGTAAGGAGCGATCCCGGACTGCGAGAGAGATGTCCGCCTGCCGGCTTAGGCCTGATCCCCAGCAGGTGGACATCCCCCGAGGGGTCCCGGTCTGCGAGAGCCCTGGCTGAGGGACCTCCCCCCCACCCCCAGTGTATGAATTTCATGCACTGGGCCTCTAGTTTGTGAATAAAAAACCAGATTGGTTAAATAATGATCTATCTATATAAATATCTATGTGATTGCTACAGGCTTTCTCTCTTAGTATGTGGATCTTTCCCTGACAGGCTGGGCTGACCTCAGGTGGTGATGGGCAGATTTCACCCAGCATACCCTGCAGAGCAGGCAGGCAGCTGGGCCACAATGGTGATGGTCTTACTCTAGTGCAGTGGTTCTCACCTTGGCTGCACATTAGAATCACCTGGGAATCTTTTTAAAATCCTAATTTCTGGGCCTCATCCTCCGGAAATTCTGTTTCTTTGTTACTAATGGGCCACAACATTAGTAACAAAGAAACAGAATTTCCGGAGGATGAGGCCCAGAAATTAGGATTTTAAAAAGATTCCCAGGTGATTCTAATGTGCAGCCAAGGTGAGAAACACTGCTCTAGGAGGTCAAAGGCCACATGGGAACTTCCTCTTCCTAGCTGGGCTTCATTTTCCTTTTGCTTAGGCATAGGGAAAGGGTGGATGCAGCTGCCCTATGCGTAGCCCTTTGTTAGCCATCCTGACTTCCCTCCCTCTCCACATGCCTGGAGCTCCACCTGCACTCAGCCTTCTGTGCACATCCTGGCCTGTGGCTCCCTCTGCACATTTTACATCAGTGTGATCCAGTCTGCTTTCTGTCTTCCTAAAATCTGTCCAAATCCTGGGTTTGCCGGTGTCCCCAAGAACACTTTTAATGTGATTGGGGATCCCCTCCCCTGTTGTACTTCTTTGCTGACATTTCAATGGGATTATGAGACAGAGGGGCATAACCACTTGTGTGCAGCTCTCCGTCATGAACTGGCTACCCCATATTATTCTTTATGATCTGAACGTGGAGAATGGTGGCTTTCAGCAGTTGTGTAATATTTAAATCGAGTCTGGGTAAAGCGTAGGGAAATCATTTTGGGGTAGGGAAGGAATTTTTAAACAAGTCACACACGTGCAAATGTGTGGGAGAAAGGCTCATAAATTTGACTATATTAAAATAAGAGCCTGTGTTCATTAGTGGATACCACAGAACAATACAATGAAAAGAGCAGCCTCAAACTGGGAGAGGCTCTACATCACTGTTCCTGATAAAGGACTACTGTCCAGAATCTATAGAGAATGTCTCCAAATTAATAAGACAAAGAACCAATAGAAAGATGAAGCAAAATGCATAATAGGTCTTTCACAGAAAACATAAATGGCCAATAAACATATGAAAAGATGCTCAATCTCATTAGTAACTAGAGAAATGTAAAATAAAGCCACCACAAGAAGCCACTTTATGCCCACCAAATTGACAAAAATTCAAAAGCCTGAAAATGCCTAGTGTTGACAAGGTTGCCTTAGTGCTGTGCTGGGTTGTTGGGTAGTAACTTGATATACCCACTTTGGAAAACAATTTGGCACTTTTTTTTCTATATAATTTTACTTTATTTTTACAAAATAATTAGTAACTTGGCACTATTTTGTAAAGCACTTTTTCCTGCAACTCAACCATATCACTCCTGGAGATACACTCTAGAGAAACCCTTGCATTTCTGCACCCAGAGGCTCACGTGCGAAGCTGACAGCAGTGACCATGTCACCATGGCCAAACCTCACCAACACAATGTTAAATGAAGACAGCACGTTGCACAAGAATATGTACAGTTGAATCCACTGGTGTAAAGTCTAGAGGTTCATAATCACATGGAAAATAGTCCTTTTGGGGGATACATATATATGCATTTTTGAAAAGTGAAAGCAAGGGAATTCTAAACACAAAGTTTTAAAGATTGGGTTATCTTAAGGGGGACAGAGAGAGATGCCAACCAGGAGGGGCAAGGGGGACCTCAAAAGCACGGGCCGTGTTCTCTTTCTCAGGGAGTGCCTCATACACGGCATTTAAAGAAATGATTCTTTGTACTCTATATGCAACATGTGCATCTTTTTAAGTCTGGAAACTATGTTATAGAGCAGTGGTTCTCAACCTTCCTAATGCCGCGACCCTTTAATACAGTTCCTCATGTTGTGGTGACCCCCAACCATAAAATTATTTTCGCTGCTACTTCATAACTGTGATTTTGCTAGTGTTATGAATCGTAATGTAAATATCTGATATGCAGGATGTATTTGCATTGTTACAAATTGAACATAATTAAAGCATAGTGATTAATCACAAAAACAATATGTAACTATATATGTATTTTCCGATGGTCTTAGGTGACCCCTGTGAAAGGGTCGTTCGACCCCCAAAGGGGTCGCGACCTACAGGTTGAGAACCGCTGTTATAGAGGAAAGGACTTCAACTTGAGAGAAACACCAGGTGAAGCACACGCTAATGCTCTTCCAAGTTTGGAGCAACTGGTTTGTGTAGAAGGGGTTTGCTTTGCATGTATGTTTCCAAAGTCAGAACTAAGGTCAAAGAGTTGACCTTCTAGGACGTGGAATTCCGCTCCCCGTGAGACCTTGTGACATTTGTACACGCTCACCTCCTTGCCAGTGCTGCGAGTATCCAGTCGGTTCACAGACACGCAGAGGCAGGAGGAGCTATTATCTTCCTTTTATAAAGGCTAACACTGAGGTTCAAAGAGGGGAGAGGTGCCCAAGCGCTGGAGCTAAGGCCAGAGCCCAGGCTGTAGATTCTGAATCCTGGACTCTCCTCTTGACATTCTTGTGGCCCTCAGAGCTGTCACTTACGCGATGCTCCATCCTGAAGGTGCCCCAGCAGGTTCCTGTGTCTGCACAGTGGCTCTCCGCTACGGGCCCAGGCAGCAGCCTTTGAGGGGGATGCCAGGATCCTAGTAGCTCCGAAGGCATTGCCAGGATTCCAGTTGTAATGTGAATGTCTTTCTCCTGTAAAGGCCTCTTGTGTCTAAAGTGACTCTCTTCTGTTGGGTACCGTACTCTGGACTCCTCATGACTCAGGCAGACAGAAGCCAAGAGCCCCTTGACCTGGGCAGCTGCCTTATTCTGCTCCAGACCTCCCAGATCTTCTGATGTGCTGGGCCAGAGGGCGGGGGAGGCGGGAGTTGGCTCAGAGGGGACCCCTGAGTTGTCAAATGTGCTCCGTGATCTCAGGATGATCTTAGGGGGGAGGGAGTCATTCTGAGAAAGCCGCCACATGCCGTCCCCCGTCCCTGTGGCCCCCAGAGCAGCATGTGCTGGAGGAGCTGGAGCGCCAGGCGGTGCTCGTGTACACCCCGTCTCGCAAGGTGAATGGCAAGCGCGTGGTCTGCTACGACGACCGCTACATCGTGAAGGTGGCCTACGAGCGGGACGGCGTCATCGTCTCCAATGACAACTACCGCGACCTGCAGAGCGAGAACCCCGAGTGGAAGTGGTTCATTGAGCAGAGGCTGCTCATGTTCTCCTTTGTCAACGACCGGTACGTGGTGGCCGAGGGGGCCTGGCACGGGTGGGTTGGGGTGACGGGAAGAAAACCACTCCCACTGGCCTAGGCCCCGCGGGGTTTGAGGTCCCAGGACACCAGGCCACAAGCAAGGACACCAGGCCTGGAGACAGCCGATCTGAGGCACCCTCTCTGCTCCCACAGCAGCACGGTCTCTCTGTGCTTCTGGGACTCCTCTCTTCTGTGACCCGCTTTCTCCAACAGGGCTGTTTTGCCCCTGCTATCCATGACCTTGTCCATGACCTTTCTGTTCCCGTGTCCACATCTAGCAGACCCGGCAGAGAGCCATTCAGCAGGTGGGCCAAGCATGGGCTTGGAGCACCATACAGTTGTGTTTTTCTCTTTAAAGAATGTAACACTTTTAATTAGAGCACTAAAATGGTCATGGGGGAGGGGGGATCTGGACTTTGTTCTACTTCCTTTCACTGTTTTCACCTTTTCGTTGTTGTTCTTTTGAATCACATGGGGGAGTGGGCAGCATCTTCCACCATCTTGGAACTGACTCTGTCTCAATGCCTCTTGGTTGAAATTTTCCAGAGAATCTGCTTGGTTCATCTATCCCCCGGGCCGGTTCCTCTGGGTCAGGTCCATCTTAGACTAACCAGCTACACGAGGGTCACAAGGCACCAACCCATGAGCAGGTGCTGGTTAGCGAGGGCCCCTAGACCGAGCTTAGCTGGGGAGGAAGCGGTGTCTGGTCCTCAGCCCATGTGCTCAGGCATGCCGAGAGCACAGGCGAGGGAGGCGCCTGGCAATGTGGGTGTGGGTCTGAGACTAGCATAGGGCAAGGCAGTGTGGGGAGGGCACCGCGGGCCGGGACTTCACTCCCCCTTCAGTTTCTGTCCAGGCAATGACAGCTCAGGCCTCATTCTGGGCTCCCCAGCTGGCTTTTAGGAATGTGGTTTGAGACAAGCCCCCAGCTCTGTGAAGGCAGGCGCTGCATCTTACGTGCCTTGGCTCCCGCCATAGGCGCTCAGTAGCTCGCTGTAGAGGAGTGAGGGAGTGGCTGCAGTCTGGGAAGGGAGAATGGGGAGAGAGGAGGCAATATGTCAGCTGGCCGGGCCACTTGCACATGGCAGAGCAGTCCCTGACCCTGAAGCCGGGGAGGTAGTGTGGTGTGGTGGGAAGGTCTGGGACTTTGAGAGGCAGGAGGTATATATTTTAAATATATTTTTATTGATTTCAGAGAGGAAGGGAAAGGGAGAGAGAGAGACAGACGCATCGATGATGGGAGAGAAGCATTGATTGGCTGCCTCCTGCACATCCCCCGTGCGGGGATTGAACCTGCAACCCAGACATGTGCCCTTGACTGGAATTGGCCTGCGGACTGAAGGGTCCCAGGAGGTGAGGTTTTAAACGGAAGCTGTGCGATTTACAGAGCGTGTGTCCTGGGGAAATCACTCAGTTTCATTCAGCTGAACGTTCTTTACCTTGAATTAATGTACTTGGATTAATCAGATTTATATCTGAGATGGTTGTGAGGACGGGAGAGAATTGTACCCTGTTATTCTCAGGACAGGCCAGGACACAGTGCCGCCAGGGGACGCTGTTGCCTCCACTACCGCCTGGCACAGCCACAGAGGTGGAGGACCCTCCTCAGGCCAGGACACAGTGCCGCCAGGGGACGCTGTTGCCCCCACTACCGCCTGGCACAGAGGTGGAGGACCCTCCCGAGCCCCAGGGCAGATGCTGGCAGCAGCTCCCTGCAGTAGCCCCCCTGGTCACTTCCACATACGCAAGGCCAGCGGCTCCTCTCTCCGGCCCAGGCCTGGAGGAATCTGGCAAGTCTGGGCACTGTGGGTTCCAGAAAAGCCTCCCTGAGGTCTGACGGATCATGGCTGCCTCTGGCCTGGTGACAGCCCGGGGCCCGGGCCAAGTTTTTTTGGACACACGGGCCTCTGCTGAGGGTCTGCCAGAAGGCTGCCTGGCTGCCAGAGGCAGGGCCTGCCCGCCGCCTGTGGGCGAGGATGCCCACCCCAGTGCCCTGGGCACGTCCGTAGGGCCCTCTTGGCCCAGCTAGCAGCTGCGAGGCCGGGAGAGAGCAGGAGGTGAAGCCTTTGGGAACTTTTAATAACCGCAGTGGGCCGCTCCCTGGATTCTTGGTCAGGGCCCAGCTCTGAGAAGCCGGCTGTGTAGCTGGGATCTGAGCTGCGGACGCTGCCCAGGGATCGCCCAGCTCCGGGCCGGCCTGGTGGACGTGGTCTGCAGGATGGGACCTCAGCATGACCCTTGACTCTTAGGGGACACAAACGTGTAAATACAGGCTCTCTGTTCAGAACCCACAGCCCCTCCAGCGGAGCCTTTCTGTGGCTTGGAAGTGTCTCCTGGGAACAGAAGTATTCATATAAAACACTGGATGGCGCTAAACCAGGGGAGTTTTCCTTCTCAGGAATGTTGTTTTCCCCTTTGAGCTGTTAGCACCCTGAGGTTGCGTTCCCTTCCTTGTTAGACTTAATGCCAGGGGGAGGGAAGGGGCAGGTGCGGGGCAGGGTGGGGCAGAGAACATGGCCTGGGTCAGGCAGTCCCGGGAGCTGAGACCAAACCCACCCAGAAGCCCGGCTTGGCAGAGGAGGAGTGTGCAGCCCGCACCTGGGATCCGCAGCTTTGCTGACTCGCCCACGGGTGTTCCAAACTCGCTGTTCACGTTAATGCCAGGCTGTGGGGGTAGCTGCAGAAATGGGATCTGAGCCTCAAGGACTCAGAGGACCAGGGCTGTTTGGAGCCCCACGGAGGTCTCTAACTTTCTCTGTTGAGGGCAGGGGAAGGCAGCTCAGAGCCGCTTTCAGAGTAGCGTTGGAGGGGGTCGAGAGCAATTGTGCTTCAATTTGAGTGGATAAAAATCACCCAGGGCCTTGTTAAAATGCAGGTTCCCGAGCAACTTGAGATTCGGATTGAGCGCGTCTGGTAGGAAGCCAGGGACCTGCATTTGGAAAGGAGTTGCTAGGTGGTTCTGGTCCCGCTGGCATGAACCTCAGCAGGAGAGACTCTTGGAGGTGGCCCAGGGGCTGCTCTCCAGGGATCCGAACTGTGCTCTGCACGCGCGCAGGGCGAGAACGGGCTGTGCTGCTTCCACACCCTGTGCCACCTGTGGGTGTGGGAAGAGTGCTGGCTGGTGAATCTGGCCCAGGCCATGCCAGGGGCTGCCACCCTCCTGCTGGGCGCTCGCCATGCAGGTGGCATTGTTGAGTCCCTGTTGGTCTTGCAGTGGCCCCTCTGTGCTTGCTTTCCAGGTTCATGCCTCCTGACGACCCCCTGGGCCGCCGGGGACCCACCCTGAGCAACTTCCTGAGCAGGAAGCCAAAGCCCCCGGAGCCCTCCTGGCAGCACTGCCCATACGGTGGGTGACACCCCGCGCCCCCCGGGCCCAGTGCCGGGCTTTGCGTCTCGATGGCAGTGTCCTGACGGGTTATTGTAGGGATGAACTGACACCTGGGCTGCCTGTTGCATGGGAGTATTTTGGGGGGTGGATGCCGGGGTCACACCTAGGACAGAGCTGGTCCCGGAAGCAGGGAGGCTTTGTGTCCCCCAGGCTCCCCTTTATCAGTCCCTTCACCTGGCACCTGGCAGGCTGTCTCCCATCCTGCCCGTCATCCCCCACCCCTGGGCCCTTATGGCCGTTAGTCAATGCTGTCATTAAGAGGTAGGGATTCTGGCTCAGTGGTTGAGCTTCAACCCACGCACCATGAGGTCATTGGTTCAATTCCCCGTCAGGGCACATACGGCTTGATCCCCAGTACAGCATGTGCAGGAGGCAGCCAATTGATGTTCCTCTCTCATGGATGATTCTATATCTCTCCCTTCTCCTTCTCCCCTCCTTTCTCTAAAAATCAGTAAAAAAAATTAAACAATAAGATTTAAAAAAAGAGTTAGGGATTTTATCCGGAGCCCTCCAGGGCGTCAGCCTCCTAGGCAGCGTCCACTAACTTGCTTGGAAAGTTATCCCATGTCCCCAGGCCTTGGTTTGCGCTCCCATAGAAGTTCAGGTGACAGGGAGAGTCATTTCATGTTAGAATGAAGGTGACACACAGGCAGGTTGATGCATTCTGCTCCCTTTCACTCTCAAAGGTGCCCAGGTTGTGATGATAAAATTTAAATTATTTGATCACCTGTTAGGACACCATGTAGGGAGAGGGCAATGGTTAACACAGGAATGTGGGCAAGAGGAGGAAACTGAGGCAGCCCTGGAGGTGCATCCTATGCCACAAGTACCCACTGTCCACCCACTCCCGAAACCCCCTATCCACAGGGTTCCCGGGAAAATGGAGACTGAGGTCCATGAGTGGAGAGATTTGGTCTCACTCCCTGGCCAAAGGGAGCTCCCAGGTGGACACCCTCCTGGGTGACACCCTCCTGGCTGACACGGGGGTTATTGTGCCCAGTGCCTCTACCCCAGGGAGGCGGGTGCTGCGCCCTGCGCATCCCTCCTGCGCTCCGGGCCACTCCACCCCACCTGGTCCTGCCCCATCCAGCTAACTGCTTCCTGGGCGCTTTCCGTTAACAACATCCCAGGAGAAAGGCGAGGGGCAGGCACTGCCCACCGCACCCGGCACACAGCCTCTCCCGCCCGCCCGAGGTCTCACCCTGCGTCCTCTCGCCCCCCTGCCCCTTCCAGGCAAGAAATGCACCTACGGCATCAAGTGCAAGTTCTACCACCCGGAGAGGCCGCACCACACGCAGCTGGCGGTGGCCGACGA